AACCATGGTAATGATTCCCTCGAAAAGCGTATTGCCTCACAAATTCAACGCCACAAACTTTTAAGCATCCGACCGGTACGGACGGAGTTACGAAGATATGTCACACGCTGCAATCGCATTCTCTCTTTTCTCGTCCCGACGAAAGCACTGGAAGCTAATCAGAGAGGGATGGGAGGAGCAAACAAAAAACGTCACGCGTGCCTCGTGACCTTGGGTAGTTCTTTTTTTTTCTTCGAATACGCGGCTTTGTCAGTGCGATCGTGCGCGAACGCGTGAACTAAGGACGGCCTCTCGTGGCGATCTCTGTAACAACCGAGCGCGTTATGTTCAAATCAGCCAATGGCCGATAGATGGGCAATTTTCGTGCAATATTTGAGCGTATTTCGTCATTGTCGAGGAAAAAGAAAGGAATTTTTAGTTGACTGATAATTTACTGTGAATTCCAGGCCGCGTGCTGCGCTACAATATGTGGCTCGCGTGTTGTCGGAAGCATCTTGTACCGATCCGCAACGTTTTCTGATCATGCTCAAAAAGTGTTGCAGGGCCCCTTTAAGTGGCTGATCAATGTGCCCGTTTGGAGTCAGCATAAACGGTTTGTTCAGCCTGCGAAAGTAATTTATGTGCTACATGGTGGGTAGATCTTGCGAGAATAGGGTCACTGTAATGTAATTTCATGGCCGGTGAGTAGGCGTTGCCACGCGTTGTCAAAGGGACGCAGAACATTCACTGCTCTGTTGACGAGTGCTCGGGCTTGTCATGGACGGCTGTATTTCCGGGATGTCCACAATGCTCGGGAATCATCAAAATAGTGATCAGTTCTTCATGAGGAAAGCAAGAAATAAATGCTCGCATCGCACTATATAGGCGGTCGTAGTCTAGAGCGTTGTGTAACTTTCGCAAAGTGTAGATTTGGTGATTGGAACATGTTGTAGCGGTAATTCTTCACAGAGTTTATACTTATGAAACAACAACAGCAATGAATTATTGAGGAACTAAACATTAAGGAACAAAGCACATGCTTCAATGCGGAAACAGGAGGCCGGAGAAAGCAATCGCCGAGGAAAAGAGGGGATTAGCCGGAATGACGTGTTTAAAATGTGACGACGCACAAAGCGCTCGCTGGCACACCTAGCCTAGGCAGAGAAAAATAAAGTTCGTGAACCTCACGCGTTGGAGCCCTGTTGGCCTCGAAGTGCACACTTTGGCCAACTGAATCCCTGGAACGAAGACGTCATGAGCGGCAAGAGCCGCGACACATAATTCATTGACGAGAAAATCAGTCAGCAACAACAGAAGCGCAGCAGGTATGGTCGCAGCTAGCCATCACCACATACTTGGGATTCACGGCGGGAGCCAACGCTCTCATAGGAGGGGGCCAGGCGGTTGCAAAGTTCGTGGCGGGAGCAGGTGCACTCATAGGAGGGGGCGTGGTGGTTGCCGACCGAGCGGCCCTTCTCGACCACCTCACCGCCCTGCTTTTCGGTGTTGTTGACAGCAGTCCTGGCGTGTTCAAGCGCTTGACAGCACGTCACGGAGCCATCCGAAGAGGCGAACATGACGGCGGCCTTGTACTGAGCCTGCCAAGAGAGGCAGCACCGTTTATTCATTGCGTTGTTACCGTTCCAGTCGAGGCAACGTGGGCGTTTCATGGTGCCCGGTCCCTTGGGGTGGCTGCCACCACAACGGAGGCAGCTCACATCGCGCGAGCAGGCTGCAGGGGCTTGGCCGAAGCGACCACAGCGGACACATCAAGGGGCCGTTGCAGACGCGGGCGGACCAGCCCCTTAATAAAGTAGCTGACTGGGCTACATTAAAAAAACACACACACGCACATACGACCACGGACAGGAAATGGCCGGGACAAGCGCTGACTTACAACTGCAGTTTTATTGACGAGAAAGCTCTTAAAGTAGCGGAATGAACAGTAAAAGACAGTAAAAAAACAAAAAAAAGATCACAAAAACCGATGCAAAGATAGGTAACTACTAAACATATAAAAAATCACTGTGGTTTGCTGCGCCGACCCTCGCATCTCAAGAAGCATGAGCTATCTGCCTGATCAGTGCAACTAATGGCAGTGCTTACGCACGCGCTCTTTTGACGCGCCATCTGAGCAGCCTCACACATTATGCGCGCGTGCCATTCTTTAATCTTATCCAGGACTGTGGTCCTTTCGAACTGTGGTGTGCATCGACACGTGCTCACGTGTAACGCTAGGAAGCCGTTTTTGTCATTACGAACGTCGTTGGCGTGTAAGCGTTCGTTTAGGCATCTGCCCGTCTGGCCACCTAATGCGCAGCACAAGACAATGGGATCCTGTACACCATGCCCTGCACACAGTCGACAAACTGCGCGCTGTGCTTGACCATTCACAGTTTACTACGCCTCTTACGAGGAAGGTCATGTTTGCCAACTGGGACAACTTGTAAGGAGAACTGAAAACCACTTTCACGTTGGGGCGTTGTCCTATTTTCTTTAGGCGATGGGACAGATGGTGCATATACGGAATAACCGCCACCCTGTCCTGTCTTTCCGCAGAGGTGTGTTCTGTGTCACCGTCACTGCCCTGGCGTTTCTTTTTATCTGTGCATTGCCTCCGCCAAACGAGCCAAGGTCGCCGGCACCCTTCTCTTTCTGGGCCAATTCGCAGCTTTAACAGGAACACCTCCGGTGGGATGGTGGATAACTCGAAGGTTACAATAAGGCATTTGCCTGGGTGGAAGCACGAGGCGACCGGGACGGCTGACACGAGGTTGGTCGCGATGCCATCGGTGTGTCCTTGTCAACACCGTAGATATTGCCGACGCAGGTGTCATCTACTAAAAGCTTGGGTTTTCCGTGGATTTCGCGTAGATCGTGGCCACCTGAAGGAGCATTGAGGGGTGCGCGCAGGGTCGGATATCGAATGCCACAGGGTTGCGTAGGTAGTTGGCGCAGACACACCGATCGAGTGAGAAAAAATACAAAAAGGGATGCCGCGATGGCATCACGGGACGCAGCAAGAAAGTTTGTTTCAAGTTCTTGCCCGCTGCATGGGCGAAAGAGGATTGTGCCGCCTTGTTTCACCACTGTTGTAGGAGAGGCCGAGGGCTGAGCTTCGAGCACCAAGGGTTTGTGGTGGCCGGATCGGCAGGGAGAAGAGAGGTAGGAAATTGGAACGCAGGCGCTCCAGTTTCCTCCCACGTTGTTTTCGAAGGATAGAGGGACGACGAGGGTCGAATGTGGTGTTCCCAGGAGGAACTGGAGAATGATTACAATTTGATCTTCGGTGTTTTTTTTTCCTGAAGAATGGGTGCCCAGAGCGCAGCTTTTCTTCTCGTGTGCGGCCGAGGCCCAGCTTTGTTGTTCAGCAGCAGCCGCGGGCCATGGCTGCTTGTCTCAGAGTATCGATGACGCGTCGTACATGCATGCAGTCTTTGCTGCTTCCGGTTTTTAGGTTCTTGATTGAAGCACAGGCAACCAAAACACAGGCGAGACAACGCCTTTTGGGAACCCTTAAAAATTGTGGGACTCTTAAGCTACACCTTGCAGAGTTGAACTCGATATAGCGATACCCTCCTTAGTGCGTACTTCCAACACTTGATGCATGAAATCTTTTCGAACTTGCCATGCGCCCACAGCATGGACTTAAGGAAATAGGCACAGTAACGCGTGTGTCTTTTGTAGTGGGTGACCAGCTTTAAACCATGAAGTTATTATGATATAATGACATGATCTGACACCCGATGGCAATACGCTTGTACCACGCATTATTACTGCAATATTTCATGGTGTATTGTGAAGCATGTATAGAAGACGCGTGTGCTTGTGAAGCATGAAAGTTACTTTCACTGCATTTCCAAGCAAAGGAAGTTGGTGCGATTGACTGAGGAAGGACCTGAGCGATTAGCAGAGGACGTCATTTTGATTGTATTCACATGCAGACACACGGCTTTGGGCAGAACATTCACTGACCACGTGAACGACCCGGGTTCGATCCGCTCTCTCTCTCTCTTTTTCGCAACAGAAAGCTTACCGGTCGGTGAGTTGAATCCCGGAATGGTAAAGATGAAGACGCCAAAAATATTTGTAATCAAATTTTTTCAGCCTGCAGAGAATATGAAGTCGCCCCGCCGCGGTGGTCTAGTGGCTAAGGTACACGGCTGCTGACCCGCAGGTCGCGGGTTCAATTCCCGGCTTCGGCGGCTGCATTTCCGATGGAGGCGGAAATTTTGTAGGCCCGTGTGCTCAGATTTGGATGCACGTTAAAGAACCCCAGGTGGTCGAAGTTTCGAGGGGCCCTCCACTACGGCGTCTCTCATAATTACATGGTGGTTTTGAGACGTTAAACCCCACATATCAATCAACATGAAGTCGTGCACTCGCATGCTGCAAACAGTGAGCGCGAAAGCGGTTCATGTTCGAGCCGGTAGGTTGATTGAGCATGCGTGCACTCCGCGCTCATGCGCCATGGCTCGACTTGGTCCACTGAACTCCGCAACGGTAGTACCGCTTCTCACAGTGCAACTCATTTTACGTCGTAGACAGTGCAGAACTGAGCGGCGCTGGATAAAAATAAACATTCTCTGATTCTCAGGACTGGCGCACATGACATCATCAGAGTACGCGACTACGTACAGCAAAGTGATATACTCCATATTCCATTACCCTGCTTCAAGGCTCTTCCGTTAGGCTGCGCAACATAAGGTTTTTTTTTCGTTACATTTAGGCAAGATTCTAAAACGAAATACATCCTAGCCCCAACGCAAAGAGAATGCTGTAATCTGTGACTACATTTCACGGTCTTCTCATTTCTACAATGTAATGTAACAACACGTTCTCGCCTGTTGTCGGTTCCTTTAAAGACATGGCTTGTTCAATAGCGCACCGCCATTACAGCTGGCCCAGCTGAGCCGAATGTTTAAAAAATGCCGTGAAACAAATGTCACGCGTTCCAAGCGGGAAGTTATAATCCATGTATTAAACCGAGCATAGAAACACAACTCCATATGTATTGCAGCCGGCAGAATATCATCTACGCCTATTGCACCAACTTCTGCTCTCGCGCGTGCAATGCATCAATATGCTCCATTGCAGTGGTATCAGGTGCGGTGCTCAAGACAGCAATATAGGGAAAACAATTATCTTATCAAAACGCTTTACGCTACGTTCCTACGCCCGCACTTCTGCGCGAGCCCTTGAGACTTGTTCGGGCACCAGAAAACAAGTCATGTGCCGCTACACTTGAAGGCGCATTTCATCTGTGTTGCCACGTCCAGAGGGACGTGATGGCGCTTCGTGTAGGTGGCGACTTCTGAGACTCCTTGTGCGGCAGAACATGTCGCTGCAGACACCTCCACAACACAACTTCACGACGGCTTCTCACAAAATTATGAGTCGCAGTTCATTTCCCTATATAGAGTCAAGGCAAAGCACCCGGAAAGTCTTGTGCCCTATGTCGTAAGATGACTGGGGAGCGAAGCGGCGTTGGGGCGACCCTTACGAACCCGGGCTCGGGGGAAGTCGTTGGCCTTGAGGCTTTTCTTGAGAGGGGACCGCGTTCACAGCAGGCGGATCGCATTTATGGTCATCCTTGCGAATTTTGCGGCCTTTCGGAAAGTGACCGCGGCAATTGTCGCAGTCCCCTTCCTCTTCATTGTCTTCCGAGTCCTCCCCAAATTTGGTGGGCTTGACGTAGATGCAGCAGCACTTCGAACTCATACGGTTGAGGTTTTCGTTGTCGATGGTGTCAGTCGTCCACGACACAGGCCTGCGTCCGAACGAAGGGGTGTCAAAAGAAACACCATACAACAACAACAACAACAACAACAAAAAAAACAGGCACAATGAGTTAAACAGAGTCTCCGTAAACGGAACCTGTAGAGACCGGGAAAATGTGTTCAATTTAACAATAGTCCAGTTTATTGAGAGCTCAACACGGGTGCGGAATACAAGCCCGAAACCAAACACTGCAGAGGCAATAGTTCCGTTTGAGCAATAGTTCCGTTCAACAGATTTTCTTTCATTGAGAGTCTACTGTAGAAGTCTGAGTGCCAATCTAAAACAGCAGAAAGAATGAAGTCACGATGCGTTGGTAGCATATTTTTTAGCAACGTTGTCACAAATGTTATCTTTTTATACCTGTACACTATGGTGCGTTAATACGGCACTAAAACACTTTTAAAGTAAAATAGATAGTTTGCACATGACGTCACTGTCACGGCATTATAACGTAGTGGTTCACAAACATGGCAGCTTTGATGACGTAGAGGCAGCACAAACACATCGTGCTTTAACCTGTTTTGATATGATAACAATGAGGACATAATTTTAATGGCCCCTCTGTGTCAATAACAAGAGAACCTGCAAGTGGTGTTGATAAAATTACCACGCGACGCGACGAACCTTGCGTCTGCCAAGCGGTGCACCAACATGTGCTCTCGCGCGTGCAATGCATCAATCTGCTCAATTGCAGTGGTATCAGGTGCGGTACTCAAGACAGCAATATAGGGGGAAAATTATCTTATCAAAACGCTCCACGCTACGTTCCCACGCCCACACTTCTGTGCGAGCCTTTGAGACTTGTTTGGGCACACAGAACACCAGTCATGTGCCGCTACACTTGAAGGCGCATTTCATCTGTGTTGCCACGCCCAGAGGGACGTGATGGCACTTCGTGTAGGTGGCGACTTCTGAGACTCTTTACGGCAGAACATGTCGCTGCAGACACCTCCACAACACAATTTCACGACGGCTTATCGCAAAATTATGAGTTGCAGTTCATTTCCCTATAGAATCGAGGCAAAGCACCCGGAGAGTCGTGTGTTCTATATGTCGTAAGATGACTGGGGAGCGAAGCCGCGGTGGGGCGACTCTTACGACCCCGGGCTCGGGGGAAGTGGTTGGCCTTGAGGCTTTTCTTGAGAGGGGACCGCGTTCACAGCAGGCGGATCGCATTTCTGGTCATCCTTGCGAATTTTGCGGCCTTTCGGAAAGTGACCGCGGCAATTGTCGCAGTCCCCTTCCTCTTCATTGTCTTCCGAGTCCTCCCCGAATTTGGTCGGCTTGACGTAGATGCAGCAGCACTTCGAACTCATACGGTTGAGGTTTTCGTTGTCGATGGTGTCAGTCGTCCACGACACAGGCCTGCGTCCGAACGAAGGGGTGTCTAAAGAAACACCATGCAACAACAACAACAACAACAACAACAACAACAACAACAACAACAACAACAACAACAACAACAACAACAACAACAACAGCAATAACAACAACAACAAAAAACAGGCACAATGAGTTAAACAGAGTCTCCGTAAACGAAACCTGTAGAGACCGGGAAAATGTGTTCCATTTAACAGTAGTTCAGTTTATTGAGAGCTCAACACGGGTGCGGAATACAAGCCCGAAACCAAACACTGCAGAAGCAATAGTTCCGTTTGGGCAATAGTTCCGTTCAACAGATTTCCTTTCATTGAGAGTCTACTGTAGAAGTCTGAGTGCCAATCTAAGACAGCAGAAAGAGTGAAGTCACGATGCGTTGGTAGCATATTTTTTAGCAACATTGTCACAAATGTTATCTTTTCTATAACTGTACACTATGGTGCGTTAATACGGCACTAAAACACTTTTAAAGTAAAATAGACAGTTTCCACATGACGTCACTGTCATGTCACGGCATTATAACTTAGTGGTTCACAAACATGGCGGCTTTGATGACGTAAAGGCAGCACAATCACATCGTGCTTTAACCTGTTTTGATATTTTAACAATGAGGACATAATTTTAATGGCCCCTCTGTGTCAATAACAAGAGAACCTGCAAGTGGTGTTGATAAAATAACCACGCGACGCGACGAACCTTGCGTCTGCCAAGCGGTGCACCAACATGGCGTCCTTTGTGACGTCAGTGCACCCATTTCATGTTTGTAAACACAGGTAGGCCAATGTCGGCATTATGGGTAAAATTATAGCGACGTCCGCACGTAACTTCTGCCATACGCGCTGAGGGCTGCGATGTGCGGCAACAAAACGACGTTGTGAGACGCCACAAGCGTTGTGAAAGCCATAAGCGCTGAAGGCTGCGATGTGCGCCAACAAACAAAACTAAGTTGTGAGACGCGACTCAGATCCAATCACGACGCAGTTCGTCGGCATACCGTTTTTTTTTCTCGTTGCTTGACTGAGAACCACCACATGCACCATTGAAAACCCAGCAGAAACAGCGGTAGGCAGAGCGTCTTTTGAATACCAAGACAGCGCCACCGCATTTTCGTGATATAAGTCTGGTGTAATTTGTCTATACAACTACAAGTTTGGCTTGTGAATATGAGAATACTCATTTATCAAACGCACTGAAGGCACAACGCCGATAAAGAAAACACGAGGTAAGAACAAGGTTGGCTTGTGAATACGGGTTTTGTATCATTTTTCGTGATGCATTTCTCTTGAGAACATACAGCGCAAACGCTGCAACCGCGGCTAGTCAAAAGACGAAAAAGAACGCGTAAGAGTGCTACAGTAAGTGCAATTTCTACAAAAAAGAAAATGAATATCAGCATTGTGTTTACTTTATCTCACGTCTAAATTGTACTCGCCTGTAACCCTGAGGAGCGGCTCTAGATGAAAGACAGTTGTTTTTTACTTCAGTGCCGGCAGCGAATAAAAACTTCCCGTACCTCCATTAGTTCTCTGATTTGTCCTCTTAGAATCTATCATACTTCTTCACCCATAAAAAAACACTCGGGAGAGGTTGTTTAAGTATATACTGTACGTCACTTCAATCTGGGGTGGTAACTTTAAAAGGCGCTGCCATTCGTCGTTCACGAGAAGGCTACCACTGACCTCACAATAAGGCCCCTCCTACCAGTTGCTGTCTTCTACTAAAAAACGTGCACTTTCTATATGTACGACGGAACCGCTAAAAGGCACTGCATTAAGTTACTACAAAAAATTAGAAAAATCTTAAATGTGTGCCTAGACAATTAACGCATCACACTAGCCACTGCGCATTATTTGTAACAAACGCATTCACGGTCATATGACATTAAATTTGGCTACGCAATAACATATAATCGCCATAGAAATTCGTACACGTCATGACAGAGCAGAGTTTTCTCATGTTCTTCATTATGAATTGACCAGTGGTCTCAATGATCGACTGCAGGCATCGCGAATGAACAACTCCCTGTTGTGAGGAGAGACTGTAATAATTATCGTCTCACTTTCTTTGTGCTCGCTCGGACTTCTTCCTGGTGATCTTGAGTGGCCTCTCGGCCGGTGGCACCTGGTCAGGATTCAGCTGCTCGGTGGCGCTTCCCGAAGCGACTGCCTGCTTCGCAGTCTTATCTGCCATGGTTGGAATTTACACGATGCACCCGCTTCTTCCCCAGTCAGCGTGGGCACGCCGCAAACCAGGCCGCGACCGCCGCTAAGATTATGATGATGATGATGCTCATTGGTAGATTGGCACCTACTCGCTTAGAGGGATTGGTCAAGAGTCGGGCGGATGGTAACCGCTAAACTAGCTTCTAAGCTTCCTTTTCGTTCTCCCGTCAAATAGCACAGCACAGTGTGATTATAAGTAATTAAGGAGAAGCTATATGCACTTCGCAGAAGGACATTCAGACCAGACGCAACTATTCTGGAGAAATTCTTTTAAAACATTTTCGGCTGCAGCTTGCTATATCAATGTTTCTGTCCATGATGGAGTCGGCATTACGAAGGCTACTGCTACAGGCGCATACATGGTGTCATAATTATTTTATGCTGAAATCCAACAGACTGCAGAACTAATGTTGCACCAACGAGTGGCATCCTTTATCTGAAGGGCAACAACAACACGCCTAAACAATGACAGGACCGGACTATGAAGAACCCGTTCCCAATAACCCCCAAAGCTCCTGGGAATCGTTACGCCTGTGAGTCCACCCCGAACGTCCATGCCTCTGAAAAAGGCAATCTGTGTCAATGCCAGCACGCGAGCCCGCCTGACGCGAACAACTCAACGGCGTCATCACGCGGCGGCGCCGATCTGTCGCGCAACACACAGCAAGCCCCCTCAGCCCACGAGCCCGTCGAAGCAATCGGCGCCTTCCAGTCTGGCGAGTCTTACGCAATGTGTGGCGACGTCACTCGTTCTTGGCTGCAACCACGCGCAGCGGCTCCGGATTTGATGAGCATGACGCGGCCCAGCGGCGAGCCCCATTGGAGGATTCTGACCTCACGGCCAGCGGCGCTTCTGGTTGGACATCTGGTTACTCAAAGGATCCACCCGGTGCCTTAAAAACAGCCCTGCGGCGCGTCGCCAGCAGTAGACCTATGTGTCAGAGAAGAGAGCTCGGCTTTTCGAGTCTCTAAGCTGTCGGCCCCAGTGCCGAGTTTGTAACGCCTCTATATCTATGCTGTACATAAACCTTGCCCTAACTCTCCTTCGTCTAGTCCGCTCGTCTATCAGCTCTGCGCAGAAGCAGTCGCGAGCTGAGAAACCCACGCTACCAAACGGTTGGTGACTGTGTCGGCGGAGATCGGAGCAGTGGCGTTTTCGGGACCGTGTTGGCGTCGCCCGGCTTTCATAACAGAATGTCCCATAAATGTTTTAGTGTGACATATTCGACCAACCAGCTAGGGAACACTCCACGGCACCAGAGAAAAATACCAAAAACGTTCTAGCAACATGCAATCTCCAATAAAGAGGTTTTTTCCTGCGACCTCCCTGTAAAGTTTCTCGTCTCGTGCGAGCCAATTTTCTACATCTAAATCCAAGGGTAAGCTCATAATTAGGTACAATTCACCAATGCGCCACTCCCGTGCCCGGATACACCACCGAATTCAAGTGCACGGAATTTGGCTCGCGTGTGGATTCGCGCATCCAAACACTACACAGAAAAATCCGGTTCGTATTACTCGTGTATGTCTGTAAAATGTATGCGAAGAAATCAAAGATTCACTTTGGAAACCTATTACAATTCCCGTGAAAATATATTGTAATAAAATGCCCAGGCGCTTAGGCGACGTGACAATATTAATAATGATTGATGTTCAGTACATCCCGTATAATCTGGCTAAAATATATAGAATTTGCGCCGTAGGGACGCTCAATCTTTCTCCTTAGATTTTTCAGTATCCGGAGGAAAGTAAAACAAGACAAGAAAAGAAAAAAAAATCACACCATCTCCCACTAAGGGGAACCATGAGTAGCACGCGAAGCAGCACATGGGTCGACTTGGATTTCCGTTCTTCGCGGGCACCTTGCCCGATGTTAACGTGTCCTTGCAAGTGTAGCACACCATGAATTCACTGTATAGTTTCTGTTGCTCTTACCAACGCCTTCTAGAAAAACTATGCATAGACCGTCGCTCTCTATTCAATTGGGAGCCTCTTGTCAGCACGCAATCTTGGAGGTCACGCCTCCTGTCTTGTGTTGCGACTGGCCGCCGCGTGATACCGCTCGCCTCCGTACCTTCCAACATGTCCATACCACCTGGTCACGTGACATTACATGACCGTACTGCTCTGTCACGTGACATCAAGGCTGCTCTGAGGCAACTGCGAGACCATTGCTATAATGTACTAGAATATGTAGTGTGTTCAGGGAGGAGCCGTTGCTGACGCAGTTGATATCGACAGCCGCGAGATGACGCCACCTTAGCATGGGCTGTCACCTCGCGCTTTGCTTTTTATGCACTTCTGTGATGTGATATTAGTAATAGCAGGGGTTTAACGTCCCAAAACCACCATACGATTATGAGAGACGCTGTAGAGGAATTCTCCGGAAATTCGACCACCAGGGTGCTTTAACGTGCACCTAAATCTAGGTACACGCACCTCAGTTTTTGCGCCTCCTCCGAAAAAGCAGCCGCCGTGGCTGGGATTCAATCCTGAGATATGCGCTTGCATACGTAATTGCTGACACATCCGCAAAAAGCTTTCTGTAGGGTTTGTTTGTACTGCGTTCAAAACAAAACGTCGAAGCCGCCACACACAGTCCAAATGCAGGTATTAACAAACGACGGCGAAGCAGTCATCCCTGGGGAGACTGCCTGCAGTTTTTAAAGCTCGGTTGGTGAACGAATAAAAAATTAGGAAGATTGAGGTATCGAAGAAGAGTCTATGAACCCGAAAGTTTCTTGTTATATTACAGCTAAATCGAGTCGTAGTCTGCACACTGCGACAGCTTCGACTTCCTTTATTACGCGCGTGGCACCATTCTTGTCTATAGTTGCATCATGCAATTTTAATATGTTGCTAAGGTGAAAAAACTGCCATTTCATTGAGAGGCACGCCGTAGCTGAAGACTTGGCAATAATTTTGACAATCTTAGGTCTTTAAACGATTACGTGCCCGCCAAAATGCTGCTGGTGTGGCCGGGCTATGGCACTGTACAGTCAAAAGAAAACATCACTTGGCACCACTGCCAGACTGTAAGAAGAAACCCTTTATTTACGAGCGCGCATACTGCAGTGAGCAGTAACACTGATTAAGTTCGTCGCCATTCCGTGGAATTATCAGTTCACGATCACTTCATCACGGTGGCACCTTTATGAACACCGAATGATTTTCGCTTGGAGCTTTTTTTTTTCTTTTTCGTTTTGCCTCTCGAGACTGGTTGATACCCTTCACGAAAAAATGAAGCCGTGACAGCGCGTAAATTACCGCTATCTTTGACATGAGATGCAAGCGATCGAGCTCATATAAACTGAAGGTAAACAAAGCTTGAATAAGCGTTCCAGCGAAGCTGCAGTCCCTATAGTGTTCGCCACCTCGGGTTCGTAGTCAGCAGGAAGGTCCATCGATGAACCTGAATCAGTGGCTTCACCGTCAACGCAGCGTGCTGCAGTTTTCTTGGAGATGGTAGATTCGACCACCCACTTCTTCCGCTTTCTCGGAGGTCTTGGATGCAGCGCTTTCTTCGATAAGTAGCTTGGAGCATTGGGCAGTAACATCGGCACGGCGTCCGGCATTAGCTCTGGTATCCTACGCAGTGCGCGAACTCCTTAGCCGTTTATAACGTGCACGTAGTCTCCGAGAACACATGAGGACTCGAAGTGTAGCGCACATACAGAGCAGCTTCTTTCGTTCAAGGTCCCATTCTTTCGGTGTAAATTCTGTTCCTAAACTTTCCTCCGTGCTTCGTCTTTGGGTGCAGTAAAAAGCGATGGCTGCTCGCCTTTTTTCCAAAGGTGTACCCTGTTTCGCACCTAGGTGTAAAGCAGTGTCGTTACCGCCGATAACTCGGCATGGCCTCACTGTCGCGTGGCCAGCAAAAACATTGCCAGAAAAAAACTCCCAAGCATTTCCCCAAGGGTGAACATGGTTAAGTGCGAATGCACGGGGTGATGCTATGAGGGGTATTTATTAATTTGCACTATTATATTTATTAATCACACTATGGTGCCTTTATGGTGTAATGGTTCCTGGGAATCGCAATTTGATCACACGGGGGAGTTTACGTTAAATCACTGGCGAATGCCAACGGATTTTAACTTTACTCCCCCTCATAGCATGCGAGCCCCGGACGAGCAAAGTTCAGGGCTCGCACCCTCTCCCGCGCGGCACGTTCACTGGCTCGAACGGCTTCGGGAACGTCCACTCGCCTTTGACGATTGCGAGCGGCGTCTTGACGCCGGCCTTCATCGCCCTTCTCCGCCTGACGCTTGCGTTGTCGTTCCGCTTCTTGGTCCGCGTTCGCGGCTCGATGCTGACGCCTCATCTCGGCCCCGCGAGCGCGCAGTTCACCATCCGCTGCACGCTTCGCCCGCTTGCACTCGGCCTCGCGAGCACGCAGTTCGGCATCCGTTGCACGCTTAGCCCGCTTACGTTCGGTCTCACGAGCCCTTTGCAGCGCCGCCTTGTCTTCCAACGTCGGCGAAACCACCGCGGTACCGTCACCTCCAACGACGGGTGCAGTGCTGGCATTCGGTTGTACTGCATTCGTTGTTGATGGCAGCGTTGCCTCCGGGACATCCATCGCACGACCCGCTCTCGACGAGAGGCTGAGAGAGAAGGCGGGCACGCGAGAGAGAGGGGTGCGCGCGCAGCTGCAGCGAGCGAGGAGAGCGGAGGAGCGAGCGAAGGGGGATATCAGCGTCGCGTCCGTGGCTTATTCGGTAGAGCGTCGCGCTGTGGCCCGCCAAGTCCTCTTTCTTTTAAAGATAGAGAGAAGACTGCGGACGCCGCCGACGGCGGTGGATGGTTTGGGGTCGCTTATAAAGTGTATTCACACTTAAAACTTTCGTTAAGTGGGCGCGAACACAAACAACAGGTCACTGAACAGCACCCGAGAAGACAGAGCGGCGCGGAGCTGACAATCCTGCCAGCCCATGCTACGACAGCGCCGCCTTGAGAACCAGTTTTTTGTCCACGTGTGCTGCTTCACGCGATGCATGGTGAGAGAGGGTGCCTGAACACACTACCCCATATTCTAGTACACTATACCATTGCTGTGTTCGCAGGGGGCGGCCGTTGGAGACGCTCGCCTTCGTACCGAAGCAGGAGGGTAAAATCAGAGGGTAGGGCAGCGCGTTCGCGGCTCACGTTCGAGGCATATTTTTTTTAGAAGGCGTTGCTCTTACCCGTCCCGAACTGTTGTTGGCGCACGCCATGCGGGAGCACGTGCGTTCATCGCGCGTCTGCAGGATCTCGTTCCCCGACGCCATTCATCACATAAATGTTGAGAGAGTGTAAGGTGGAGAGGCCACAGCATCTTACCTATCCCCTTACACAGGCCCGCACGTGAGCACGATCTGGCAGTGCTTGGGCCAGCTGTCGCGCATGCGCAGTAAGCCTGGCCACGCACACCGGATCGAGCTCGACCATAAGCTGCTTCTCATCTAAAAACCATGCAGCGGTCGGGCTTGGTCTGACTGTCCCGACGTGGGAGCGGTCTGCTGCACGTTGAATCGTGCACCTCCAGAGCATCCATCCATCTGCTGAGACACCTACAGCACCTACAACACTCGGCGCAACCTTTTGCACGGACTCTGCCCTCAGCCTTTTGGGCCCCCTGCCATGTACAAAGCCAACATGCATGTAAATAAGTACACCTTACGTGAAGTTTTTTCAGCGCGAGTACGGTTAAAAAAAAACGTAGCTGTGAAAATTCGATCCCTTAACGAATCAATATGCTAATGAAGAACTTCCCGATTTATGAACACCAAAAATAAGCCATAATAACTAAAATGCGAAGCTAAATGGGCTGCGTCATGCTTTTATAAAGCGAACATTACTAATGCATCTGTCGCTTGGTCCCATGCAGGATTCGCCACAAGGAGAATTAAGCACACAAACCAGCGGTGGCGAGGTACTATCAGCGTCAAATAAAACCCGAACAGTGGCAAGCCTTCGCGATGCTATAGTGCGCGCCATCCACTACGAACAGGCATGAATATGTGCGGAAAGCTGCCGAACAGGATTCACGCGTCTGTCAATCATGATAACTGGAAGGCACGCACCACACTATCGCAAAGGCTTGCCGCTGTGTGGGTTTCATTTGACGCTCATAGTAGATACGTGGAGACATGTTTTTTAACACCACAGATGTAAGTTTTTTTTTTCGCTGCCCTCCATTTTTTTTTCTAAACAAAGCAGAATATTGTTAGCTTTGCTCAAGCCATAACAAAGTGTATGCACATATGGGAATATGTAAATAACAGCAGCTCCCATGGCACACATTTTTTTTTCATTTATAGCTTACGTAGCGAAGCTTCATTCAAACTGAAAACTTCTGGCAGTAGTATACCTATATGTCCCATGCAAAAAGAACAATTATTAACTGTTGGGGTGTACCACCCAGAAACCACGATATGATCAAGAGGGACACAGTAGTGGAAGGCTCGTCAAATTTCCACCCCCTGCTTTTTTTTTTTAACGTGCACCAGTAACTTCGCCTCCTTCGAAAATACAAATGTCACGGGCAAGAATCGATCCCATGACCTTTGGGTTAGCAGTCAAGCTCAATGATCACTAGAACACTGCGAAGAATGTATGAAAAACACAAGACAAAAGGCAGTCAGTAATAAATTGACTTTAATTCCAGAGTTCAGGCTATGAAAATGACCCTTTCTGCAAACGATAATGTTGGCTTTTATAAAAAATAATAATAAATAAATGCAGAAGTTGCAATGAAGACATAAGCCATATATCAACACTACAGGTGGCCAGGCCAAAGGAGAGCAGATGCGAGTTGGCGGGATTTTCAAGGAAAGTCCAGCACCTGAAAGATGAAAAGTAGAAAAAGAAGGAAAGAAAAGCCGAACCTGGCAATTACTACAAACACTAGTGAGCACGATTTGTATCGCAAACAGGAGAAGACAAAATGCAACCCCCTAAAATTCTCAACGACTACCATGGCCGTCATACACTATTATCTGCCATGCAGTGCAACTTGCGGTTACGAGTGCCTTATTTTAACGCAATAGCGCTAAATAGCTCCTTTCACAGAAATTCCCACGTCGGTATCACTGGGTGGGAGCAAAAAATAGCATGAGACCGAAAATTCGAGAAAGATGCAAATAGAAATAATAAATAATACGAAAATTCCGGGTGCAAGTGAGAATCAAACCCGGGTCGTTTGCGTGGCAAGCAGGTGGTGCACCACACAGGAAGGTGTTAGCTTGGAAATAGCGTGAAAATAACTTTTCATGCTTGGAAATGCAGTGAACATAACTTTCATGCTTCAAAAAACACACTTGTCCTATATGCAGGCCTCCCCATATAAAACGTAATAATGCACAGCAATAATGCCTCAGGTAGCAGAACATGATTATCGTAACTTCATGGTTTAAGGACGGCCACTCACTACAAAAGGCACACACGTTACTACACCTGTACCCGTAAGGCCACATAGTGGATGTATAACAAATTCGAAAAGATTTGACACGAATAACTGCTCAAGCTTCAAGGCACACTACCCATTACACAGTATGCAGCCACATGCAAAAGATTCACTGACACAAGTCACAACTTTTTCCCCCAGCAGCTCTTCATTGTTCCCTCAAGTTTTCATGGCTCAGCACAAAGTTGAGCAGATTACCACGATTAGCAGAAATGAATCAGCCATTCAGGCTTTCTCAATTATTTCCTAGCAACTTCTCAAGCAAGTGGACACAACAGAAGCATACCAGGCCATTTAAAACACTTTGCTCTTGCATTACTTTTTACGTACCTCCTGGCATGTTTTTATTTTTTATTGTAGTTACCCGTCTCACAAGTAAAATGATTTAGGAGTCTGGGACCGCTGAATGAAGTACACTCAAATCTCGATATAACAAACTTGGATATAATGAATAATCACTTGTAATGAAGTGAATAATATTATTATAATAGATATTGTTACAAATAATCATTTATAACGAAGTTCTGGATACAACGAGGTGTTTTCGTGGCAGATGTGACTGTTATACTTAAGCTTGAGTGGGAGAGGAAACTATATCATGAAATATGATGCCAGTACTCGATTGAAGGAGCATTGGCACAAAAATATAGAATATTATTTTTGCTGTTGCATTAGAGAGTTAACGACCCACTCATCATGGTGAGGGAGCTCATTTGCTCTAGCACATGACGGTTTATTATTTATAAACAGTTTTATAGCGCTCAGTCGCAGTTGTGGTTTCAGAGAGCGCCGAGTGAAGATGGTTTTCGTGTAAGCATAGTCGGCTATATGAGCACACAAAATTGCAGGCACATGAGCACCGCGCAGAATACTCTTTTCAACGAAGGCTTCCTAGCTAGTCTTACAGAACCCCCTGAGGCACGGCAAATATGCATGACTCCCCCAAAAAGCACTGCCAAGGCAGGCACATCAGCTTTTGTACTCCTGTGCAAGTCTGCCCCCTCTTTCCATCTAAAAGATCTTCTAGAAGAGCTCCCAAGGAATGCCACAGCCAACAAAAACTTGTCAAACAGGGGTGGTTGGTTGTTCACACAAATATTAAAAGTGCATTTTGCATGCAGTAGTTCAACATGCACTTGAATATTGATTGTAAATATGCTCCAGGCAATATTATATGCTGATATTTCGTCAATGATGCATATGTGCTCCCCCCCCACCACGGTGGCCTAGGGGCTAAGGAACTCGGCTGCTGACTCACAGGCCGCAGGATCGAATCCCAGCCGCAGTGGCCGCATTTTCGAGGGAGGTGAAAATGCTTGGAGCCCGTGCGCTCAGTTAGATTTAGGTGGACGTTACGAACCCCGGATGGTCAAAATTTCTGAAGCCCTCTAATTCGGCGATTCTCATAATAATATGGCGGTTAAGAGACATTAAAACCTAACAATTATTATTATTATTATTATGTGATTGTGTCGACAACAATCTATTCCGAACGCTCTCTCGCCTTCAATACTTTGTGTCACTAGGCATTTAAAATGAGGACATTCAAAAACAATGCAAAAAGACCCTGCATTGACAACACTGGAGGTGTTATGCATGACAAGCTGACATAAGCATCTTGCACGTCCCTCTGGATGCACTACACCATCTATCAATGCTGCCAAAAACACCGCATTGGTCAAAAAGACTGTCTGAACATGTGTTTGTCATCTAAGATAAGCACATACTGAGTACATCAGAGAAGTTTGTTGAGCACCATAAGCTGCTGGCATGTGCAGTGGTGATGCAACACAACAGCAAACTGGTTCTCTGACAAGAGAAAGTTTCACATACCCCGAGACCTAAAGATGGTCTGAAAGTTACCTCAGCTGGACAGCCGGATTCCCCACTATTAAACCATAACTATCCTAGTCACTCGAATTTGTGTAAGTCAAAGAAAAAAAGGTAATGCACAGACAAATAATCCCTGTACTTTTTCAAATATCACAGGCTAAAAAAATATAGGAAAGAAGTGCAAATTTATGGGCTCATTTTCTATGTCAGACACAGTATTGTCTCTTACTGCTCAATAAAAAGATACAGGAAATTCAGAGCTAAAGTTATGGTTTGGGTAATACAAAAGTTTCGATGCGAGATGCCTTTATGGCAGTGCTCCATAGCAATGGAAAGAATGTAGCGTCAAGGCAATAAGTAGATCTCTTTCGTTCAGAAAATTTTCCTACAGTTCGCCGGTGGGTGTGGGTTGTATGCACGGGGCGGTTATATGTGAGAAAATATGGTAGATACTCAAAAGCACATGAAATATCCAAAGAATATCAATTGCGATGACACATAAAAAGTTGCCAAGTTGGTCTGCACCACAGAAGCAAGAGCCATAGACATTCACGGAGAGTTTTTGCATTCGAGCTAGCTGGCTGGGCGATATCTTTAGGCATAAAATGAAAACCACAGTATCAACAAAAAGAACAGACATATGGATCTCTACATGGCGTATCAGCAACAAGATTAAGCTGCCACATTTTCACAAAAAACTAGAAAATAATTGCTTTCTTACAACAGTTCTAGGACTGTGACACTTAGGCACTGCTGCAGCAAAATAACAGTCTGCTGAACTTTGAAGTCGATTTACTTTTCCTTCAGAAAATACCCAAGTCAATTATGTAACAGCAAGACCCTTTTTGTCTATTGTATCATTTTCGAGTTATCGTTTGGGCAGTGCTAATCTTGGAGACGGTGCAAAAGTTTCCACAGTCAAAGCCATAGCCAAAGGGCCCCTTCCCAGGAGAAAAAATGCACCACAACTACCGCAATTACTCGAATCTAACGCGCACCTTTTTTCCGGTTAAGCGAGTTCATAAATCGCATGCGCGTTAGAATCGAGTACAAAAAAAAAAAATGAATATGGTCATTCTATTGCCATCGGCACTTCCAAAATGGCCGCCCCCTACGTGCGTCGGCATTAAAGTGAGCTAGAATAGGGTAGTGGGCTCACTTGCCGGCCGGCGCCATGCATTGCGTTGACGCCGCCAATGTCACACAAACATGCTTCGGCGCGCCTCCGCGGCGTGGCGTCACCGCCGCACTAAATGTAGCGAGCGTTGGCGCTGGGGCAGTTGCTGCCTGTTTGGAGTCGTGGTCGGTGTGTGCAAGTTTTGTTACTTTGAGAACTCGTCACGCTTTCCATCCTCAATCCCCTAGGTTCTTCGGCGAACAGTGATGTGGCCTGACAAGCAGTGACCCTCAAACGAGGTTAAAATGCTCCCGCGGCGGCAAAACCACTGTTTTGCGCCAGGCTGTGGTACAAGTTACGTCCACGTGAAGGGCAGCAAGAAGCTGTCTTTGTTCGGCGTTCCAAAGGATGCAGCCCCGAAGAATTAATGGGAAAGAAATTTGCATCGAGCGGACAAAGCCCTGGATGACACATCTGCCGTGTGTGACCTTCATTTTCAGCCGAAGTATGTGCTACGGCACTACGTGCATATAATCTACGTGACTGGACTGCGTGTGACTATAACCAGTGTGCTAGAAATGCTTTCTTATTTGACAGGGAAAGTAGCATTTAAATACATAATGACATGAAAGACTAGCCAAGACACATTAGAAAATTTATTTGGTATTATACGTCAGTCATCAGGCAGCAACGACTACCCAACGCCAACTCAGATTTTGCTAACCATTACTTGTCTGTCATTCTATGGTCTCGTGAAAACAGTTAGCCAGGGGATTGTGACCAAGGCGAGCTAGCTTCATTGCTGGAGATCAATGCTGCTACTGACACACTGCCACAAGACGATTCAGTTGGCAGTGCAAGCACTGTGAATGAGCCTATAGTTCCAGCACCTATTGACCACAACCAGCATATTGCTAGAAGTGATTCCAGGCTGATTTTTTATGTTGCTGGCTATATTGCACGAAAGTGTGTCATTAAAACAAACTGCGAAGTTTGCATTACACTACTCACGATGCCAGCTCAAGGAGAAGATTTTCAGCTCACTCGTCTAACCACCTTTCGTGACAAAGGTGGACTGTTGTATCCATCTAGCCACCTGTACTGTTTTGTGAGCAAGCTAGAAAACATGTTTGCAGAATGCTTTTCTTGCTACAAGTTGCATTCTGACAGCATTTTGGATGTATTGACAATCGTGAAAGAAAAGTTTTCCCAAGAAGTTGGGTGCGCACAACATGCCCCTGGCCTCTCAAAAGACATAATCAGCTTTTATACTGTTACGCGGTTTTGTGAAAGGCATTAGTTCTGATAGAACTGAGAGGCGCGAAAAGCCAAAGCATCTAAAGTTGAGCCACTGCTCCTGAAGAAGAAATATTCAGTAAGCAACTGTGCCCAATATATATCTGATGAATAAATTTTCATGTACTTGTGCCCAGTACTTGGGGAGAGTGGCTTCCTGTTTTTCTTATCAGTGGATTTTTACAGTCTTTGCATAGGAATATTCAGTGCAGAAATAGCCATATTACAGAGCCAAGATAATGGAGATCTGCAGAAAGAATGAGCAGCTGAAAATTTTTAAATGCTGTGAAATGTATAACATTAAGAGCTCGTGGTAAACTCCCGAGTGTGTGCCAAGGTCAGCGTTGCTAATAATTTCACACGCTCGTAAAAGGCGTGCGTGACGAAAGTAGGGCCCGAGAAATGCAAAGAATCCAGTTTACAATTGATAGCCGCGCAACGTAAGCTTTGAAAAGTTCGCCATCGCTGCTTATCACTTGTAAGAGAATTTAAATGCATCCCATGTTTGCACAGCATCCCTTGCATGCATCGAGTTCCGCATGCGGTTTAATTGCGCGAGTTACGCCGACAGAGTTTATGAAAAGAATGTTTTCTACAGCTTTATTCGTATGAGTACTGACGGTATTCGGTGTGTTTAATTTAACATCAAATAACGAGCTAACAGTTTAGCTGCATACACCATGCTACAGTGTTCTAGATGGTTACCTACGCGCACATGTAGGCCAACGGCCTACGCACCTAGCTCCACGCTAGTTTTCTTTCTTTATTTTTACTGTCTTAGCGACATCAGCATCACTGTTTACACTGCCGAAATTCGTGCGCATTTCCGTCCAGTGCATGGGATAACAGCGCACAAAAAGCATGATTTCAGTTGCCCACCAACACCTCCGTTAGGCAGCGCCCTACATTGAAGTCGCTGGTGGTGCCACCACACGAGTGACATACCCAGCGTCAAGCTGGGGACCCCAGCAAGCCCACTACCCTATTCTAGCTCGCTTTATCGGCATAGCGCGTCGGCCATTTTCGCCTATGTGTTTCCCATGTGCGGCACTTCGTACATGTACTGAGGAGTTCGTCATCTTGTAGTGCATTAGCACCGACGGTATGGAAGGGCCAACTCCAAAAACTCGACGAGTGCACCACAATGCCGCTTTTAAAAGAAAAGTCATAGCGTGTGCCGAAACGGACGGAAATCGGGCTGCATCGCGTTCGTTCGGAGTTCCCAAAACGTGGGTGCGAGACTAGCGGAAATAAAAGCAGAATATTGTCGACAGCAAAGACTCACGCAAAGGCTTCAGTGGACCACAGCAGGGTCGGTTTCCACAAATTGAAGAGCTGCCCAGCGAATATGTGATTAAGCAGTGAGCGGCACGGAGGCCCGTGACGACAGAACTGCTCCAAGTGCAGGCTATGCAGTTAGCCTTAGAAAAAGAGCTAATGCGGAGCCAGTTTAAAAGCGAGCAGGTGCTGGCTAACTAACTTTATGAAGAGGAAAGGCTTTTTCCTCCGAAGCCGAACGGGCATATGCCAAAAGTTGCTGGAGGAGTACGAAGAAAAGCTTCACAGTCTTCAGAGATTCGTCCTAAGCTTGCGGCACAACAACGGCTACCTGCTTGGGCAAATCGGGAATGCCGATCAGACGCCTCTTTATTTCGACAGGCCTGGCACCACAACCGTCGAGGAGAAGGGGGCGAAGCAAGTTCGCGTGCTGACATCGGGCCACGGTAAAACTAGAGTGACAGCAATGCTCCGTTGCACGTCAGATAGGCACAAGCTTCTCCCGTACCTCATATTTAAACGGAATACGCTCCCGAAAGGAGTCGTTTTCCCGAGTGGTGTGATCGTGCGGGCCAACAAGAAAAATGGGTGCGCGTTGCAATGGATGTCTTAGTTTTTTTTTTTTTCGTCGTGGAAACTGGGCGTGCGTTACAATCGAGGGCGCGGTAGAACCGAGTAAATACGTAATCAATTATTTAAACGACTCCTGGAGTATCAAAAAAATATACTAACACTGATCCATGATTTAATAAACACAAAAATAAAATTGCGAAAAGCTACAAGAGCCAATGTTAAGCTGGTAGTGATCCTACTGAAGGCAGCACACACCACACAAAAAATATTACGCCACCAAATTTTTTTAATGATTGCTTTTTCAAAGCATCAAACTGCCAGCACCGTAAACTGTAGCGTTCAAGAGTGCAACACTTTACAATATTTTTTTAATAAAATGAAGTCATTACACACTGCTACATAGACAAGTATTCTGTTCTAGAATATGATTTCGCGCCTGCTTTGAAACAACTTCAACCTAATTTCATGATTAACCTAGGTCATGCTCTCTAATTTGAAAGCTAATTGTGTGTGAGAACCGTACTCACCAATTGTGGCAGAATTTTCTCCAGGTGCTCCGTTGTGACAACTGTGTCGCACTGAACCTGAAATGACGCCCGATTCACCAAAGGTCTGGCATCTGAACGTGCTCTAATAGAGGGCTTTAGTTCGAATGATTGCCCATGGCTTTAGTACACAGGCTGCACGTAAACAGAGCTCAAGTTATATAAGATACTTTTCAAAATGCAGCCATCTTGAAAAAATACAGAACCGCGAACGAGGTGCTCAGCCTTAGAACACCATGATGCGAGATGTTTTCTTAATGCACACTTTCATTACAAACTATTAGGTAAAAAAAAGAAATTGTTTTGCCATCGAGAAACTTTTCAATAAATACGCAAACACGCAACAGAGATAGTATAATATTTTTCAAGCACATTGGTAATCTCACGAAATGTCGCTACTGTAGTGAAGAGGAATGCCCACTACTGCAGCGACATCGACACGTGGGCGCGAGGCACGAGCTAGGACTGCCTGATTGCTGCTGCGACGCTGCCCGTATACTCGGCCTGCTCTTGCTGCTTCGGTACCGACGCCGCTACTGCTGTTTACCTTGCATTTACATTATATTTTGGTGGAGAGTGCTGCGGTCTTCCCCAGTCGTGGAACTGCATAGCCGAAAGCTGCCGTCCGTCATGCCTGACGACGCTGTCTTCACACCCCCACCGGCTTCGCCACGCAGGAGCTGTCCCGGTGCACAGCTCTTGCGAGAACCCGACATCTTCAGCGGCACCGACGAGAAAGACATTGAGGAGAAAGACGTTGAGGATTGGCTGGAATCGTATGAACGAGCTAGCGCTACTAACAAATGGGACGATCCCACAAAGCTTGGCACCCTGATGTTTTATTTAACGGATGTTGCCAAGCTGTGGTACAGAAACCATGAGGCGGATATCCCCACCTGGACTACCTTCAAAACCTGCATCGCAGATGTTTTTGGACGCCCTGGTGTGCGCAAACTTCACGCAGAACAACGCCTACGAGGCCGGTCCCAACAAACTGGTGAGACATTCACCAGCTACATAGAGGACATCCTTGACCTCTGCCGGCGTGTCGACCGGTCGATGGCCGAAACTGACAAGGTGCGACATATCATGAAAGGCATTTCCGACGACGCCTTTCAAATGCTGCTCTCCAAGAACCCTGTCACTGTCTCTGAGGTCATTGAGTTGTGTCAGAGTTTCGACGAGCTGCGACGACAGCGTCTTCTCACTCGACGCCCTGACGTCCCGGATGACACCCTCTCCAGCCTGACCACCACATCTGACCTTCAGTCGCTGCTATCGCAGATTAAGGAGTTTGTTCGTGCTGAGGTCGCTCGTCAGCTATCGCTGCTATCAACAGCCGGCCAACCAGCGTCACCTCTGCCAGCAAACATTCGCCAGGTCATCCAGGAGCAAGTTTGCGCGGCTCTGCCATCTGCCCGTGACACTTCACCCTTGCCGAGCCCTGTTGCCTGTGCCGAGGTAAATGCACCTCTAAGCTATGCTGAAGTAGCGGCTCGACCACCTCTTCAGACTTTTACGCCGCTTCCCTCAGCCGTGCCGCTCCGACCCACTCCTCGGTTTGCTCAGTCAAGGTCCGTCCAGAGTAGTGGACAATGGCGTACACTCGACAATCGCCCAATATGCTTTGCCTGTGGGCTACCTGGCCACATAGCGCGATACTGCCGTCGGCGCGTTCCTGTCTACCGACAGAGCTACGACCAGACCTTCGAACCTGCCCTTTATGTGCCACCGCGCCGTTCGTTCACAGGCTCTCAGCCACCCGACCAGATGTCATCGTACGCCGACCACCGCCCTCCTGTTAACCGCCGCTCGCCATCACCTCGACGCCGCTCGCCATCGCCGATGCGTCGTCGTCCTTCATCGCCGGAGCGGGAAAACTAATTGCCGCAGTTCCAGAGGCAGGAACTGCGTCGCCAGCGAAAAGACCAAGGCCTCTCACTTCACCAACGAATGTTCTGGACGTACATGTGGACGGCGTCGCTGCACTCGCTCTTGTTGACACTGGTGCCGCAGTTTCAGTGATAAGTGCTAGACTCTGCCGCTTGCTGAAAAAAGTTATGACACCACTAGCTAGTATATCACTTCGTACAGCCAGTGCAGATCACGTCACACCGGCCGCTGCTTGTACTGCTCGCATCGCGATTGATGGCCTCATTTATGTCGTTGAATTGCTAGTGTTGGATTCCTGCTCCCATGACCTCATTTTGGGCTGGGATTTTCTCTCCGCTAATAAGGCCGTCATCGATTGCTCGCGCGCTGAGGTGGCATTTGAAGTGTTTGACGACGCTCCATTATATGATGCTCATGAAACCGGGGACAAACTATTTGTTGCTGAAGACGTCATCATACCGCCGCACTCTTTTGCCCTTACCATGGTGTCTTGCAACTCTCTCGCCGAGTCTAGTGCCCTTTTCACGCCATCTGCTCTTTTCGTTCGTCGCAAGTGTTCGCCGCTACCTTATGCCCTTCTAGAACTTCATGACGGCGTCAGCAGACTACTCATCTCGAACCTGTTGTCATGTCCTGTAACACTACTCCGGGGTGAGTGCGTCGGGCGTGTTTACAGTCTCAACCCTTCTGCAATTATCGACATGCCGGCTGGTCCTTCCGCCGAACACGAAGTCGCCGGAGTGACCTGTGCCTCTTCGCTGCAGACTACTAGGCCGGACGTACTGAGCAGCTCCATCGCCTACACGTTAACCGTTTCGCAACGTGCTTAGCTTCTACGACTACTGAACAAGTTCCGTTATTCCTTCGACTGCCAGCATACTCCCCTCGGCCGCACGTCAGCCGTGTGTCACCGCATCAACACGGGTACCAATGCGCCATTGCGTCAAAGACTCTATCGCGTGTCCGCAGCCGAGCGCCAGGTTATCGATGACCAAGTAGCTGACATGCTCAAGCGTGGCGTCATCCAGCCTTCGAACAGCCCCTGGGCATCTCCAGTCGTTCTCGTTAAGAAGAAGGACGGGTCAATTCGCTTCTGTGTTGACTACCGTCGTCTTAACAAAATAACTCAAAAGGACGTTTACCCGTTATCGAGAATCGACGATGCCCTTGACTGCCTCCAAGGTGCGGAGTTCTTCTCTTCTATTGACTTACGGAGTGGCTACTGGCAAGTCCCTCTGGCCCCTGAAGATCAGCCTAAGACAGCCTTTGTCACACCTGATGGCCTTTACGAATTCTGTGTCATGCCTTTTGGTCTTTGCAACGCACCCGCAACATTCGAGCGGATGATGGACAATCTTTTGCGTGGCCTGAAGTGGAAAACATGCCTGTGCTACTTGGATGACGTGATTATATTTTCTCCGGATTTTCCAACGCATCTCCGCAGGCTAGATGAAGTGCTGCAGTGCCTAACTGACGCTGGCCTTCAGCTCAACCTTAAGAAATGCCGCTTCGGCGCAAGTCAGCTCACCATCCTCGGTCATGTTGTATCTAAAGAGGGTATTCTTCCTGACAGAGCCAAGCTTCGGGCAGTTGCAGAGTTCCCTAAACCTGCGTCTCTGAAGGATCTGCGCAGCTTTCTTGGCCTCTGCTCCTATTTCCGCCGCTTTATTCGGAATTTTGCTATGATCACCGCCGCCTTGACTGAACTCCTACGCAGTGACTCGAAAAGTTACGCTTGGTCACCGGCCTGCGACGATGCTTTCGAAAAGTTGCGCCGTCTGTTAACCTCGCCACCAATCTTGCGTCATTTCGACCCGACTGCTCCGACGGAGGTACACACCGATGCCAGCGGTGTTGGACTCGGCGCCGTGCTCGCGCAGCGTAAATCGGGATTCCAGGAGTACGTCGTCGCATACGCAAGCCGTACCCTCACAAAAGCGGAGAAGAACTATTCTGTGACAGAGAAGGAGTGTCTGGCAATTATATGGGCTCTAGATAAATTTAGACCGTACCTATATGGTCGCCCTTTCGACGTAGTCACCGATCACCATGCGTTTTGTTGGTTATCCACGTTGAAGGACCCCTCCGGCCGTTTAGCTCGCTGGGCTTTGCGGTTGCAAGAGTTCGACATGCGTGTTGTCTACAGGTCTGGCCGACGTCACACTGATGCCGACGCTTTATCACGCTCGCCTATGTCCGCTGAAAGCTCTGCATGTTTATCTGCTGTGGACGAAATGGTTGCGTTCCCAGATAACTGTGACATGGCGTCTGAGCAACGCAAGGATGACTGGATCAGCTCTGTTCTGCGATTCCTTTCAGATCCGTCGACTTCTCCATCTTCTCGAACGTTGCGTCGTCAAGCGGCTCACTTTGAGGTCCGCGATGGCCTCCTTTATCGCAGGAATTACAAGTCTGAGGGCCGAGAGTGGCTACTTGTCATACCTCGCCATCTTCGTGCTGCAATATGTTCAGCTTTCCACACTGACCCTCAGTGCGCACATGCGGGCATCTTCAAAACATACGCTCGGATTTCCTCCCGGTTTTATTGGCGAGGCATGTACACCTTTTTGCGCAAGTAAATTCAGTCATGCCCGCAGTGCCAATGACGGAAAGTTCTGCCTCATCATACCTCTAGTCCGATCCAGCCAATTCCTTGCCCAGCCAGGCCTTTTGACCGCATTGGGATCGATCTGTACGGGCCTCTTCCATTCACGGCTTCCGGAAACCATTGGATTGTTGTCGCTGTCGACTATCTGACGCGATACGCAGAAACAGCCGCTTTGCCTGCTGCCACAGCACGCGACGTATCTTCTTTTTTCTTGTGGCACTTCATTCTCCGTCACGGCGCACCGCGCGAACTTCTCAGCGACAGAGGACGTGTGTTCCTCTCTGAAGTCGTCAACGCACTCCTTGCCGAATGCCGTATTATTCACCGGACTACCACCGCCTACCATCCGCAGACGAATGGATTGACGGAAAGATTCAACCGTACCCTAGGCGATATGATATCAAAGTATGTTGCCTCAGACCACTCCGACTGGGACCTCATTCTGCCTTTTGTGACATACGCCTACAGTACTGCTCCACAGGCGACTACGGGCTTTTCACCATTTTTCCTGTTATATGGCCGAGACCCTTCCACCACACTAGATACCATTCTGCCCTACCACCCCGATTCCTCCGAGTCAACGCCCATCTCTGAAGCTGCCCGCCGCGCCGAGGAATGCCGTAAGCTCGCCCAGTCGTTCACAACCATCGACCAATGGAGACAAAAATCTCGGCGTGACGATAACCACCCGTACCCCAACTTTGTTCCGGACACTCTTGTGTGGCTTTGGGTTCCCGCTGTGCCTACAGGGCTTTCCTCGAAGTTTTTTTCAAAATACCAGGGACCCTACCGCATTGTCTCGCAGACTTCACCAGTTAACTACATCGTCGAACCCGTTACGCCATCCACAGACCAGCGCTTTCGGGGACGTGAAATTGTTCACGTACAGCGGCTGAAACCTTATTACGACCCGCTCGTACTCTGTTCACCGTGAGTCGCCAGGATGGCTCCTTTTCCGACGGGGGACGAAGTGTAGTGAAGAGGAATGCCCACTACTGCAGCGACATCGACACGTGGGCGCGAGGCACGAGCTAGGACTGCCTGATTGCTGCTGCGACGCTGCCCGTATACTCGGCCTGCTCTTGCTGCTTCGGTACCGACGCCGCTACCGCTGTTTACCTTGCATTTACATTATACTACAAAAGAAACTGCTCTGAGCAAAGTACATGCAAGAGCAAATTCATGAGACAGTATTGTAACAAAAGATGCTGCTTATAATCAATGCCACATAATTGTGGTAGCAATGCGACAAAGGGTTCACAAAACAGCTCAATAATACAGTAATCAACTGTCCAGTGGGAATTAAAGAAAATGCAAGATAAGGCCTACAGGGGCAGCCAAGCATACTAAAGGGACATCATTGACAACCTACAGCGCAGATCAGATGAGGACAGAGGATCACACCACAAAGGATTCCAGTTCTACATGAAAGAATCTTATAGTTGTAATACTATGAGAGTACAAGAGAAAAGACAGAAAACTCGTGGTACTATACATAGAACACTTACGGTTAAAGTGCAGAGGCTAGTTCAGCACAGCCAAATTTATCCTCATTTATAGACATATATAAAATGCATTTTATACTGCTTTTATTTACTCAAGCTAAGCAAGGAACCACGCCAAAATACAGTGAGAACAGATGATTAGTTTATCATAATGAAAAAGTGTGCACTTGAAACTCTTACCTTTGCTTGCTCGGTGGCTCTGTGTACTGCTTCTGCATGAACAAAAGCAAACAGCATATCAAAGATAAAGTGTTTTGCACATGATCACAACTGAACTTGAAAGATCTTATACACTTTGTCTAGGACCTATACGAGGTGCCTTGAGAGGCGCACGCAGCGCTACTTGTGGTGTGGCGGGCGCGCAACGTTGAGAGTTGTAGCAGATAGCAGCGCCTAATTGCTTACATAGCTATGGTGGCACAAGCACCCGTGGCCGGGGGGTTAGTGCGTGCTTCGAGCAGAATTTAAAGATATCGCAGGGGGACAATCTTTCGCGATGCCACCATGAATAAATGGGAAAACCTTCAGGAAAGGGGCCACGTTTTTTTTGTGTGTTAGTGAGTACTTTGCGGCTCGTCGCCATGAATGACGGCTAAACATGTGCGTCAGGCTTGCGTAATGCATGAGGGCAGCTGCATAACTATCGCGGCAAGCTGTCATTTTTTCGAACTTAGATTATTATCGGTGCTTGCCCACCGCCCACGTACTTGTAAAATACTCGGAGCGTTTAGAAATATCGATGGCTCCACGGCCACTCGCCGTGGAAACTTCGTGCTCGTTTGTTGCGGCGTCGTGCTACGGCGATTTTCAGCCACCGAGTCTCGCAAAGTGCTTCGCTTGAAATTGTTACGGCATCATGGTGACTTCAGCCACCGTCACGTGTCTCTCATTCACTATAACCTCTTGCATCGTTTATGTTGCTTTCAGAAACAAACACCGACATGCACATCCGTCGCTACAGAAATTGCAAAGCATCGTTTCTTACCATCTATTGTTCTGCTATACTCTACGCCCTGCATCATTTCTTCCTAACATGAAGATTGTTTATCAGTCAAAGAGAAAGGCTTTTGAATGAACCAAATCCGAAAGATGGGATTCAATTCATTATATCTGGCGGTTACTTCCTTTGGAGCTACAGGACTTGGTTTTAGACACCGGAGCGTTTGGGATGCCACGTTCGATTTGCTACATGGGACAAAACGAATTGTAAGGTTATGTAAGTGAAACTAATTCTTCAATGACATTACGCTTTTTTTCGTGAATTAAGCTAATTAGTTATTTAGAAAATGATCTATTGCTAAGGGTTTTGAGATTCGTAAACAAAATCATTTATATATCATGGCACCGCTCATTTTATGGCCGATTCCCCATGGTGCCTTGCGTCAGTTTAATAAGGACCAACCAACTCACATACTAGCTTGATCCTATCGAATGCGCATATGCTGCTGGATGGCTAGTTGTGTTTACAGTAAAATGCTATGTAATTTAGTTAGCCCCTTCACTGATGGACTCATCAATTCAGGAAAGCACTAATTAACCTCGCATTGCATTTCTCAAAACTGCGATCGGTACACGGCGAGGCAGTAATTATTAAGGTTTATTAAAACGTCCTATCAGCCTTGATCCAAAAAAAAACATTCTTGGATGCGTTTCTCTTCTCACCAGCTCAATGACAGCAAAAACATCACGCAAGATCATTGCACATGCGTCTCAGACCAATTCAAGCATGCATCGGCAGAATGCGAGACGGCAGCAGAAATGGGAACTAAACTTCTTTTAGGTCCCACAGCCGTGATCTACTTATTTTCCTGCCCTATAAAGCAGGAACAAGTCAAGAAACTCTGAAACTTCGTTCCCGCAGGACACGGCGTGTACCTGTTAGTACAATCGACTACGCAGCAGTTTATGATTCAGATAAACTACGTGCTAGCGAACGTTGGGGGAGTGTTTCGTTCTGTTCAGGCTCTCAACGTTTGTTTTCTCTGACGGCCGCACGGTGACGCACCAGTCCCAGTGCATGGAATCTACAGCATATTCTATACTGTCATAAAGAAAGGTGGCATATTACGTCCGGCAAGAATGATATAATTTTGAGAGACACCGTAGCATAAGGTTCCGAAAACTTTGACCATCATGTGTTCTTTAATGTGCACTGACATGTACATGTACACTGTACATGAGCCTCTACTTTTCCACATGGTATAGGCTTGTTATATTTATAACATGTTTGTTGCTAGGTTTGTCAGAGTATTAGAAAATTCATTATAAAGGTATGTTCCTAAAGGTATACTTCTTGCAAGACTATTTTTCATTTACTTTACTATATTGGGCTCGTTGTATCGAGGTTTAAATTACATTGTGCTTTGAGGGGGCCACAGATTTAGCATACCAAGCTACAGGAAATGTGCTTGAGTGAATGTCGCCGAAATGAAAAAAAACACACTCTTGAAATCCATGACGTTGTGGCGTTAAATATGCTCTGAATTCTATGAAATCCATTGTGTCGTGAAATTAAAAATTAAATCACCTTAATTTTATTCTCTACTATTTTAACCCAGAATGATGAAATAAATTATATTTCAGTTCTTGCAGTACGACTTGCCAACACAATATGATTAATTGTTCCACTTTATTGTCCCTTGAACTGAAAATAACACAGGAATTAAAACTCCCCGTCTAGTGCGATCCTTCACACACATACACAAATACACAAATTAAAGCAGCATGCCATGTGATCTGCATGCAAGTACTACATAACCATTTAGAAAATGTTGAAATATGCATGACGATGCAGGCTTGTTATAAACCAAAGAGCGATGACTGCTTGCTTGTGACAAGCTGAGATAGCGAAAACCCCTTAAGAAGTTAAAATTATTATCACTACTCCTAGTACCTCTGTGGACACGTTCGAGCAACTATAAAACGCTGATCAAGATTTCGCACGCGTCTACTGAATGAAATGGTGCAAAGGCAAATAAGGTTGCAAGTTGTGTTTTGCAAACAATGAGGAGAAATACGACTGCGCGGGCAGGTAAATGAAGAGTTGATTAAACAAAGGGGTGTTACATGGCAAAACAATTATTATTAAAATGATAATTATATCAACACTTTTGACCGGTTTTTGCCGTCGATGTCGCTGTTCTCGTCGCCCCCCCCCCACATCCTATGCCATATAAAGTTCAAGTTGATAATATGTCTCGACGCTTCGTATGTTCTACTCGTAGGTAAACACGGGCGAGTGAAGTTGAGGAACAGGGCTGAATGGCTGAAGGAGAGATCAGACGAGCCGGCCCTTTTCAGTCACTGAGAGGGCGTATTTTGCTACTAATAACCTGTATTCTGCCACTAATAACCTGTATCCTACTGCTATTTAAATCATTGTATCATACAAGTTGGCTTCTAAATCATTCTATGCCATTATTCATTCACTTCAAAGCAAAAAAAAAAAAAAAAACTATATTTGCGCAAGCTTACTGGTTAACGGTTACCACTTAAAATGTGCAGAAAAAGGAGCAATGCTCACCCATTGTAAGCACCCGGAAGAGTTCTGCAATCAGCTTCACTGCATCGGCACTAACTGTGAGAATGGAGAGAAAAAAAGCATTACTGATGGCAGTGCAGATGTGGGTGACAACACATGCCGGGCTGCACGCAAGGTGTTGACTTCTACCACCACTCGAATTGAACCTTAGCCATTGCAACCAATGTTGAAACCCGTTGAAAATCAATAACAACGTAAAATACAAAAGCCTGGGTGAGATCAGAACCAATAAGAGTTGCATGAAATTAGAGAAACGAAACTGCTACTGATATTGCAATTTGTGAAACTAACGCACTGTGTCACTACTAAGGTTCAAATAATAGTCAGATTTCTTTGCAATTTCTTTTTGAAACGCAGATGGTAATCAGCATTGAGAAAAATCGCAGAGCACATGTGAAGCATTCAAATGAATTTCAGCTGCAATTAAATACCTATGTCTAGGTGACTCAATGCTTCCTTTGTGATGCACACAAGCATTAGCAACTCATCACAAGAACGCTGAAAATGGACTCTGTGAAATAAATTAGGCACAGAAACTTAAAAAAAAAAATAGTGACGCAGAATGTTCATGAAACAGATTTTGATCAATCGCTGGATATTTCATGAAAGTAGTGAGGATCCATGAGCAAGACAGGCACTGTCAGAACTTGAAACAGCATTTGCTGTTGGTTCAAGCACTATACTTTGTTGACATGAACTCAGTTGGTTTAACCCTCTTCCTAGGTTCTAGTGCTTTTTATCTGGGTATAACTTTCCTTGTTGTAGTTTGAAGTTCTCAGCTGACAGATAGTGCTTGTGCTCTGTTCTTTCCTGACACTTGTGTTCGAGCAAATCATGTGACTAACCCTTCACGAATGCATTTCCTTAGTAAAAGGGGTACACAAGATTATCATGCCAGAAAAAGTAGTAGAAGGAAGCATTTCAGTCAAGTAATGTAAAGAAATAAACCGAGCACAAGATGCACGACTGTCTGTTTTATATGTTGTTGTCAAAGTGCCGTACAAACGAAATACTTTCCTTCTTAAAAAAATTAAATTGGTGTGCGACTTACTCCTTATCTTGTCATCTTCAAAGTTCATCTTCATCAGCTCCTGGATCGTCTTCTGCATTACGATCCACAAATAGCCAGAAATTAGGTCAACTACAAGGCCAAACGTGGCACTTTTTAGCACAAACGGGAAAAAAGAATGAACTAGCTGAGAAGAGCAGAAAACAATGTACAGGGCATTAGTGCTTGCCCTGAGCACTGTCTTCTTCTTTTCTCAGCTAGTTATTTCTTTTCTTGTTTGTGCTAAAATTTATGATGTCTGGGATAAAACACTAGCTCGACAGGAAGTTTTATTGATACAAAGACAACTTCTTGTGCAACAACATATCGATGCGTGCCATTTCCTCACCGTCCTCCACGTCTATGGCTACGCGCTCCAATGCTTATCTGAAGGTAATGGTGTCAAATCCAGGCTACGACGACCACAAGTAAAGATGGAGGCGAAAATGTTCGAGGCTCTTGTACTCAAATTTAAATGCGCGCTGAAGAACCCCAGGAGGTGAAAATTTCTAGAGCCCTCCACTCTGGCGTCTCTCATAATCATATCATGTTTTTGAGATGTTGAACCCTAACAATTAGTATTATTACGTTACCCCTCTTTTCTCCTAGGCAATTCCTTGTTGACAAGGTAGAAGGTAGGCAAATGTAAATAATTAAATAAATAAATAAGAGATAAATAAAATTAAGGAACACTGTGAGGGGACGTAAAGCAAAACGTAATGGTTTCTTGATGACTACCAGGTTTTCCCTTCTATTCCAGCGATAATGTACTAACAGAATATCTTAAAAAACAATATTTAAACAAAGGACTGTAGACAGTTACTCAGTAGCAAGTACTAACAGAATATCTTAAAAAACAATATTTAAACAAAGGACTGTAGACAGTTACTCAGTAGCAAGAACTTCTTAATAACAGAATATTTGCTATGATTGCTACAACATCTGTTATATGCCAGTTTAACAAGAGCTACAGCTCTAAATGCCTTAATTACACTTTACCCCATGATTCCCTGTCATTCTCTGCATTGCATTTGATTTGGCATCCATTCCCAAGCTGCAATAGACGGCTAGTACTCTGTCGCAATCAACACATAACCTGCCTAGCCCTCATATCCTAGTTGACCTCAAACATTATATTGGCCAGACTTGTTTACTTTTCTAACGCGCACCACTACCTTCGCATTTCTCTGCATTACATTTAGTATAAGCTCTTTTTAACCTTTACTATCAGGCTTCAAGTGTTCGCAGCGTATGTAGGAATCGGCAGATAACGGCGAGCTGCCATTCATTACGTGGTATTGCCTGCTGCTCGTGCTACAACCCATCCTTATCCCAACGTCTACTGTTAGCACACTCAAACTTTGATATAACGAACCCAGATATAACAAAATATTGGTTATAAGGAAGTAAAATAAAAGTAGTCTTGCTATAGATACAGTGTTAGCAATAAACCTTTAAACAAATTTCCTGATAATAACATAACGCACTTATTTGTGTAAGATGCAACTCTGTCATAACGAGGTTTGAGTGTACTTAGATGAGTTGACTGGGCAGTGGCCATATTCTGGCTACACTGCAAGAGTAAGCCGGGTGAGCTTGTTGCTTGCGTTGCCTAAAACTGTATTGCACGTTGCTGAAATGCAACAAGTTGTGACATAAGCGAAGTTAAATGAACTCCACCACAGTCCTAATGTATAATGTTCAATACTACTACTTTTCATGCATTTCTTTGCTTTTAATTATCTGTCACTGTCATATAGTTAGGTTCTGGTGCTCGGCTGCTCACGCAAAGATCGTGGGATGAAATCCTGGCTGTGAAGGTGGCATTTTCGACGGAGGCAAGAATGTTAATAGGCCCTTGTACTTTTATTTCGGTACACATCGGAGAACCTCTAGAAATTGAAACTTCGGGAACCCTTCACAAACTACTGATAATGATGTCGTGGTTTTGGGACATTAAACCCCTGTAATTATACATTACTTGAGTCTTGAATTTAGGTACACTTCATAAAATTATTTTTTAAATACAAAAGTAAAGTAAAATCTATTTAGGTCATGTAGGTTTAGGTGACTATGTGTAACAGCTTTATAACAAAAAGGGATGCCATAAGGGTTTATTATCAACAGATAAACAACCTCAGAGATTCTAAAACAGTGTTTCCCAGTTGCGTATGCAACTTGCTGTCCAGTGATTTCCCCCCTTCCCCCCTTTTTTTCTGACTGCAAGAAGTCTACATCTATTCCATCATTTTGCAAGGGTCCTTAAGAATTCATCGCTGATAAACAATGGTCGTAGCCATTTATGAGTCCTGTTCATTGCACGAATCACAGCTAAATCGTAGTTATCGCATGTAAAACAACACTGTTCATTGTGTGCATCACAGCTAAACTGTAGTTTTCACATGTAAAACAACAGGAATTGCTATTCTTTTGGTGGCAGTCACTAATTATCTGTAACAGTCCTAGGCTGCCAAAGCGGCACATAAAGCAAATAGGCATCCCGTACAGATAACTTGCATGTCACACTACAGACAGGTTCTCTCTGCTGGGTACCTGATGATGGCGGCCACCATCACTTTTCATTGCATATGAGAGTGCCAGTGCAAGGGACGACAAAGAGTCGTTTACCCTTCACGTTCTTTTGTGCTGTCCCTGCTTCCTTGTGTTTGCAATTCTCGCCAAGGAGAAACACAAAGAATTGGAAGAGACACTGGCACTAATCTGATGTCACCATTTCTTGCTCCACGCTGTCGAGCAAGAGTTCACACAGCATCTCAACTAGCTGGTACTTGAAGATGGCGACTACAGTGGATGGACTATTGTAAGGCATGCAGCGTTAACTATCTCAGAACTTCTTTAACTGCTCTTTTTGATTACATAATTCCATAAGGCCGCTTTTTTCGGCAAGGCAGTCGTTGTGCAGTTGGTCGATATTCATTCTGATGACCAAATATTGCTGTACTTTGGAGTTTGCTGTTCACCTTCAAGTTACTGCAGCTTTCAGTCAAACAGGCTGGAGATACCACATTGAATATCTTAGATTTCTTAGGGCGATGAACATTAATGAAAAAGAAAGCAAGCATCTAAGCTGAAAAGTTTTCGTGAGTGCTCCTGTTCACGAAATTTTTTTTCCACTTTAAACTCACTTTTTCACCTCATGCACGAGCCTAAAATAATTAAATAATCAAACAACACAACAAATTTTCCCAGGAAGTCACACATACAATGACAATGAAGTCCTATCGCTAGGTGAACTTTTTTTATTCTTTATTATGATGTGTTGGCATAAGCGAGCGGCGAAAGTTTGTCGCACCGTAATCAAACAACACAACAAATTTTCCCAGGAAGTCACACATACAATGACAATGAAGTCCTATCGCTAGGTGAACTTTTTTTATTCTTTATTATGATGTGTTGGCATAAGCGAGCGGCGAAAGTTTGTCGCACCGACCCCCCCCCCCCCCACACACACACAAGAGAAATTTTTGCTGCTCCCCCATTACCTTAGTTGACTAGGTGGGAGCGGGGGCGCAGAGTCACTTCAGAGTTGCAAACGAAGGAAGTGCCTACGGGCCGTACACCGATGAAAGTGAACAAAGCAGTGCATTTCTGACCAAAACGACATAGCAACACTTGACAAAGAACGAATGCCACCCACCGCTTTAAACGTTGCCGTACGCATGACACTGTCATCGTGTTCCACTTCGGCGTTGTCGTCCAACAATTCGACGAGTTCGTCGTCCGCTTGGTCCTTTAATGTTTGCTTCGAAGAGCCCGCTTTTGCGCTGGCCGCCATGTTTTCGGTCGCCTAGTAGTCACGTGACACAAAAGTGTATGAGATGGATAGAGCTCACGTAACGCATGAAGACTGGAGGTGACGAAGCTTCAAGGCGCGTAATAAGATATTTTTATTATAGAATTCGTAGTGTACTGGTCGGCTCTCATAGACACTACTAACTTCGGAAAGTACAATTGTAACTAAAGAAGGTATGTCATTATAACTCAATACATAATTCGCTTTAAATTTCATTGAGTTTGTGTCAAACAAAAAAAAGAAGTCCTCAAAATGTTCTTTCGTTCTAAAATACTAGTTTCGGTTTTGCTTTTCATAGAGAGATAACAGTCACTCTCTCTTGTGCCAGCGCCCCCCTTTTCTAAGCGGGGACGAGGCGAACACCTGCGCGTGCAAGCCAAGCGCGTGTGGCCAAGCGGCCGTGTGTTCCATGCTGACGGTCGCCGCTGCGCGAATTGTGTGGTAGTCTTCGAAAGGCTCCATCACTCGCGGTTTCTTCTCGACTCTTAACATCGCCGGCGCCTATTCGGAGCCCCGAAGCCATCGCAAACATGCTGGATCTCGAAGAGAACTGCTACTTCGAGGAGGACAAAATGTACGTAAAACGATCGAGTACGCTTGCGCCACGACGTTTCCGCTCCGCGTCGTGTCACTTGGCGTACAGCTGCGGCTTTTCTCATCGAGGCAGCTGGTTTCACGTATGGCTGCTGCTCTGTCTGGGAATGTTTCTTCTTGCTTCTCTTTTTCGCTTCGAGCCTGCCTCGCACGCAAAGTTCAGATGTCAGCGGTGATGCTACGACCGCTGTCAGGCGCGCGCGTGTGTTGTTGCCACACGCGATCTGTGTGTGTCGAGTTGGCACCTCGACTGCAGCGTATAGCGTTGTACGTTTGCGGCCGTGGCTCTTTTACGCCCTAAATCGCCCGCACTCAGGTAGTGTATGTTTTGCTTCAGAAACTAAGGGAGTGCGTGTTCGAATATCGCGCAGTTGGTAGTTGTCAAAACCCAATGTCCGATTGTTGTTTCGCGTTCGGAAGTTGATATGCCCGCGCGCCATGCAACGAAACTGCGTACTTGTTAAACACCGGCTTGCAGGTAACCAACTTTTCTGCCTAGACGGAGAATAGAGCGCAAAAATGATTGGGTAGCTGTGTCTAAAGTCTTCTTTTTGGCACTGCTCGTATGCACTGTTAGGAAGCCGACTTTTCGAACTTCTTAGCTTGCCTTTATTGTTTGTGGCATTTGTAGAAGTTTTTGTTGGGGTAGTGTCATTATGCCGTTATTTTACATATAAAAAACTGTGCCGAGTTACCTGTTTCAATTTGAAAAAATTGCACAGAACAAGGGCTTCATAAGGCCGTTATTACGTGGTCACAGCAGGCCCACGATGATGTATACCTTATATTCGCGTATGATGTGTATATAAGGTGCGCCGTACGTGAAAATTATAAGCGAAGGGCTCCAGCAGGCTTCTAAACGCGAGCACGCGAAAAAAAGAAACACACAAAACAAGGCTGGTGTCTTTGACAGGTCATTGGAAAATATGTGTGCCGGATTCTGAAGTCACAGCATTGGAGGCAAGTTAGACACTGCCATGACTGGCTCGGGGTTGTTTGTCCAGCCTTGTAGTGCGCGTTTCCTTTTTATTTTAAATGCAAATGTATTTCTTAGTCGGGCTATGTCAGGCGTCCGTCAGGATCCGCCCCCTCTCCCATAGCAACAGTGGCGGGAGCGCGCGTTCCTAGCAACCGGAGCACCCACCATGTCACGTTTCGGCGTCGGCAGCTGTCAGCAACACCTTAACTTCGCACCTAGCAATCGGAGCCCCCACCTCCTTGACTTGAATCTGACTTGCCATTGCCTCATTGCAGTGTGTTTGTAGCATTTGTGTTGATAAGACGCTGACATTATGGCTGTCAGGTAGAATGACAGGTGCAGTGCTTCGCCGCTCCTTCTCTTGCCGTTCACTCTCTGTCCTCCCCGTACGCCACTCTCCCGTCCACTCGCTTGTATGTGGTGGTGGTAGTGGTCAGAAGAGGAAAAGGCACATAATTTCTGCAGCCCGGTATGGAGCATGGCACAGTGCTTATTGTATGTATATACGCAGTGAAGCACGCACCTCACTCTCGACCGTTTGCTGGCTGATGATTGTGTAAACCAATGCTTACGGTACAAATCCTCGTATCGTCATTAATACGCCATTAAAATTACTACGCCGGGTACTCTCGGCGCAACAAATACATTCGCATTTCCTCATGATTCCCTTCGGGAAGGTGGAGGCAATTTTTTTCCCATCGTGCTTGCATTAGAAACTTGCTAAAACCCTTCACTTTTCGTCATGTATCGGCTGGCCCAGAAAAGCACGACGAAAATCGTACTCTGCTTGTCTTAAAGCAAACGGCTACATGTGATTATCATCAGATATCTTATTACTAGATACTACCTGTCGTATATGTCACATTGATCTTCTTGGTTTGGCATAAAATCGGCACATAGTTAATTACATGTATCACTGGCGTGTTTGCAATGGCAAGCAATGTTTGGAAAACATTACTCTATGCTGTAATCAGATCTGACTTTAATTCTTATGGATGTGTGTTTTATTGCTTCAAGAGCATTTCGTCACGATACTATCGTACATGGATGTATAGGCAATCCTCATGCTCTTCAACTCTCTAAGTGAGACTTACAATCTGACCATGCTGTGCAGCTTTCTTATGTCTGTTTGGTTGACTGACCTCTTCCTGCCTGCTAGTTTTTCATTTAGCCGTAGCACATGGCCTCTATTGTATCCATTCGTCTTGCTATTTGTGCTTTTGTTTTTACCGATTGCTAGCTCCTTGAGGTAATGTAAGCTGCTCGTGCCTCCTTGTTGCGTGCACGATATGTTTCGTGTCCTTGCCCCTCCACCCATCCCACCGCCCCACCTTTTCTGTTTTGTTACTTTTGTTTTTCTCTCGTTTTGCTGGCCCTAGTGGCGGCGCAGCGGCGGGCGCATGCTATGTCTGATGTGGCGTGTGGCTACCAGCTAGTACCCCAAGAGGATCCAGACGACTCGCCGGATACCTTCTACTTCACGATGGAGGACCGCATGTATGTGTGCTCGTGATCCCCTTTGCCTTGATTGTTATAGAAACATCAGTTTTGTTATGTTTTCTGGCTGTCTTCTGAGGTTTGTTCTCTGTGGCTGCGGAACTTGGGTTTGGTTACATCTGTTCCTACCTTTTGTTCTCTACGGCTCCCCTCCCTTCCTTTGCATGTAATGCCCTGTTTTGGCTGTCAACACAACTGTTCTACATATACAACTCAGTTTGAGTGGTCGAAAAAGTGATGCTGTATGTGAAACACAACAACGAGCTTGCAGTCTCTTCTGTATCGAGTGACTCTGAAGAAATGCCATACCGTTTGCGCATTGATGTTATCCCAGTGTGTTCATCAACGTTGAGGCAATGTTTATTTCTTATAAATGGTGACAGAATCTATTGTGGCTAGAATAGGGATTCGGTTTGTACACTCCTGTGAATTGTTTATGTGGAGTACTGCGCACATAATTGTTGAGGCTTGTCTTGCACTCATAAGAAGGGCTGGATCGAACTCCTGTATGTCAAAAGTCGCTTAGCTTCTTGTTTGTGTCAGTTTGTTTGTCTATTGCTTAATTAGGTTCCATTCGTTATCAGCTTACAGTCCTTCCCAGCCCCTCTCTTCAACCCAATTCTAAAAAAAAACATTCAATTCATATCGGTACTTGCATTAATGTGATAACGTGTTTCCAGCAAACCTTGTAAAAATTCTAATGTCCAGCCTGTGCCACATTTCTGTCTGCTATCATCATTCTGTCACTGTAGCTGAAATGGCATATTTCGCAAACTTCAAAGGATTGAGCAGCTGGTATTGATTCTTTGTTGATATGTCGTTTACTTTAATAATTTACCTTCATGCAATGCTGCGGCACCATATAGTGCACAAATCGCGCAGTACTTCTCTGCTCTTCTACACAGTTCAAAGGTGGGGCAGTGGAGAAGTTCCTATAAATGCACGTTTGCAGCAAGGAATAAAGGTGGAAATCTGTCATGCGCAGTTTTGTTTGGGAAGTGCAGACATGTCTACACTTTCGACAGATACTGTACCTCGCTATTCTCATACTCCTTTTAATGAAGCCAAGTTAACAAGTAGCAGCTTCACAGCACGACATTGCATAACTGGCATGCACTGTCATCCTTTGCAGCATTCTTGAACTTTGCCTGTGGTGGTGGTTGCACATTATTTTGATTCATTTCTGTGTTGTAATTGTAAAGTAGTATATGAAGGCTTGTGTGACTCATTTATTAGTGGAACATTATCTTTCGGTATTGAATGTACTAGGTCTTTGACAAGGGCCAAAACAATGTGACATATCCAGGCTTCATACAAATTCTTTGCTCATGCTCGCAGTATTGAGTAAAAGGTACTTCTGGCAGCTTGGATATATCATTTTGTTTTGCTTGTTCATGTAGTTTGTGAGCTCTCATCATTTTTAAAGATGATTTAACTTGGTGTAAGATTGTTATAGAGGACCTTTAGACAAATGTTGCACTCCGTATACAGTGACTATGGCGTGATCTACATAGCATTTATTGGAATTTACGTGAACTCTTGTCAAAGACCTCTGACCCCTAAATTTGCTGATGTGAGGTGTTAGTGTTGTTTAATTGTACTGCATGCATAGACAGTTCTGACCTATTAGCGACTAAGTGTTGCCAATAAAGTATTTTGCTTTGGTTTTAAGATAAGCATGATTGCTTATCTGAGTTTGCAGCACATCATGACATCATGAGTAGGTAGTTCAACATGAATAGAGATATCTCTGCGACATTGAATGAGTAAAATGAGTATTTTTGACCTCGTAGACGAGGTTTGTGATGAGTTGGGTTTTATGGAGATATGGTGGAATAGATAGACGAAAAAAAATTGATTTTTTAAATCTCATTATTCATAAATATTACACACTATTACAGAGAAAATATTCCTTTTCTGACGAAAAGTAGTGTTCGGAGAAAAATTCAATTAAAAGTCAAGTTGCCGTGGGGCAGTCATGGGATGAGGCACGTTTGGGGTCATTTTCAAATGCTTTCCACTGTGCATAAAAATACACCGCTTTGTGGAAGCACTTGCCAATAATGCTGGAGTATTGTGCCATGAAAATTGCAAAATCACATTTTCAGTCCGCTTTGCCCTCCACCCCCCCCTTAAGGGTTGTAACAAGGATTACTTTCCTTTTTTCTGAGGGTGCAAACTCTTGATAGTGAATTGGGTGTTTGGCACGCATGCGTTGTTCGTCATGTGCGATTGTGGATAAAGATTTCGTCAGAACATTCCTGGTGCATTTCTCCATAACTGACACAACATCCACACCATTTCATTCTTTCCCAGATGTATGGATCCAGATAATGTAAAGCAGGAATCTCAGACACACGGGCCACATGCCCCTTCTTTGCAGCCTGTAGCCCATACATGTTCATTTATATATATTGTAGTGGGGAAGAGGGAGAGAGACAGTATCTAGTCGGAGCACCTAGAAGACGACTACGACGAAGAGCTGAGCTCGTGACAGTGACTGACACCCCTTGAACCAGGCAGTTGGTTTTAGTCAATAAACCCCCTTATAATTTGGTGGAAGTACTGGGATAGTCTTCGAAGCTGGAACTACGAAGTCGCACCTTACATCCAGTGCCAGCAATGCCGGAAGAACCCTCCACCCAAGGTACCTCGCAAGTTCCCGTCTCTACATGTCCCGGTGTGTGGCCACTGCGTCACCCACTGATCTTCAGCGGCACGGACGGCCAAGACGTTGAGGAGTGGCTGGCTACTTACCACAAGGTGAGCAGCAGCGAACAAGTGGGACGATGAGGCTAAGCTGACCGATGTAAGCTTTTACTTGTCCGGCGTCGCTAGTCTCTGGTTGCGCAATCAGGAAGCCGACATTGCCAGCTGGGATTCATTCAAGACCTCCTTTTCGCAAGTCTTCGACAGCCCTGCTGTGCGAAAACTTCGCTCAGAACAAAGACTTCGTGAGCAGGGTTAACAGCCAGGAGAGACCTTTACCAGCTACATTGAAAACGTTGTTGACTCGTGCAAGCGAGGTAAACCCAGCGATGCTCGAAGCCGACAAAATCAAACAAATCCTCAAGGGCATATGCGGTCACGCATTTCAAATGTTGTTAGCCAAGCACCCACAAACCATAGCCGATCTCGTCAGCTTGTGCCAGAGTTTTGACGAATTGCGCAAGCAACGTGCCCAAACACGGTGCTCTCTGGAACAAGTGTGACTCGATCACTGTCTTGACTCTCGGAGACCAGAACGACATGTTGGCTCGCATAAAGCAGTTCGCGCGTGTGGAGGTCGCTCGGCAGCTCTCCATTTTATCGAGCACGCCCGAGCCAGCACAAACGCATCCTCTGGTCCCCAGATAATCCGGCCCCGGCCGTAAGGCACGTCATACAAGATGAAATAGCTGATGCTATGCCTTTCGCTCGTTCACCACCTCTGGAGGCTGCACCCTTGACGTGTGCGCAAGTCGTGGCAGCTAGAGCATCTCGACAACCCACTTATGCTACCTCACCAGTCCCTGATCGGTCATCACCAGTTCCGTTCAGCCGGCCGATTACAGCGTTTCCGAATCCGTGGTGCACCGAAGACAACGCCCGATTTGCTATTCTTGCGGTTACGCAGGACATGTGGCTTGCTTTTGCTGCCGCCGCCCTCTCGTTCACAGCGACACCTATGCAAAGATCGTCGCACGACTCTCGGCGTTTTAACAACACGGCACGTCAACAAGCATCTTTTTCACCCGACCGCCCTTCCTCAGTCAGTCACCGATCTCCATCTCCCCGACATCTCTCCCTGTCACCTAGGCGCCGTCGACCCTGCCCTTCAGACGCGGAAAACTAGATGCCGCAGTTCCAGACGCACGAACTGCGTCGTCGTCGAAAGAATCAAGTCCTCGCATTTCTCTGACAAACCTCATCAGCGTTTTTGTGGATGGTTACCGTACCCTTGCGCTTGTGGACACTGGTGCTGCCATTTCAGTAATTGATTTAAAACTTTGCCGCCTGCTTCGGAAGGTTACCACGACTCCAAAGGGATTCTCCCTCTGTACTGCCAGTGCTCACCATATTCGACTATCAGTTGCTTGTACCGCCCACATTGTCATCCAAGATGTTTTGTATACCGTTGAATTTCTTGTGCTACAGGTGTGTTCTCATGATGTGATCCTCGGCTGGGATTTTCTTTCTCGTAATCATGCGGTTATCGACTGTGCTCGTGCTGAAGTGGCCTTCTCTGTGTTGTGTGCCTCTCCTCCGGAACTTCTGTTGAACAAGCTGTTTGTCGCCGACGACATCGACATACCACCGACCAGCGCAGCTTTGTTCCCGTGTCTTGTGCCGATGTGTCTAAGCCTGCAGTGTTGTTTACGCCTTCCCAAACATTCGAAAGCCGCAAAAGCCTCGCGTTGCCGTTTGCAGTTCTAGATGTTTCGGCGGGTGCTATCAATTTGTTTGTCACAAATCCCTTGTCATCTCCTACAACCTTCCGTCACGGAGAATGTATTAGGAACATTCCAAGACTTAGACGTTTCCTCTATCTTCGGCCTTGATGGTGAAAGTGATTTGCAGCTTAATGCACTGATGCCATCTTCCCGTCCACCTGTTCACAAAAACATTAATTCGTTTGGCCCCTCAATTGATGGCGAACTTGAAAAACTACACCGGCAGAAGCTTCTTGAACGTCTTCACCAGTTTCGCGGCTCGTTCGATTGCCAGCAGACGTCCTTAGGCCGAACGCACACTATTGTCCATCACATTAACACCGGCTCCCAAGCGCCTCTGCGATAGCGTCTCTACCGTGTATCTCCTGTTGAGCGTCGTGTGATCACTGAGCAAGTGGCCGACATGCTTCAACATGGCGCCATTCGGCCATCCAGCAGTCCCTGGTCTTCACCGGTGTTATTTGTGTGGAAAAAAAAAAAAAAAAGGCTCGATTCGCTTTTGCGTCGATTACCGCCGTTTAAGAAAATTCACGCTTAAACACGTATACCCTTTGACATGCATCGATG